TTCCCCAGTCATGTTTTCCAGCAATAGCCCCGGGTGGGACCCTTGTGCTGCCATGGCATATGGCCAGGAAAAGAAAATTACGGTAAGTATGAATAAATTTTCCATTTTCCTGGCCATATCCATGGCAGCACAACATTGGGTAATACCCAAGCAATAAACCAGGGAGGGAAAGAGACACAGACTCCAAAATTTTGAATGCAAAGTGTATTAACACCACAACAAGTGAAAACATAGAAATCAGGCTTCGGATACAGACAGAACTGATTTAGCAAATTGATCAGATAGACCTGCTCTAACATCAATTTGGTAGCTCTTAATGAACGTGTTAGCGGAAGACCATGTAGCTGCTTTACAAATGAGTTCAGGAGAAACATTAGCAGCGGCTGCCCAGGAAGATGAGAGAGCCCTCGTGGAATGGGCTTTAAGACCCACAGGGACCGGATATCCAGCAGATTGATAAGCCAGAATAATAGCTGCTACTATCCACCTGCTAATGGTAGATTTGGGAGCTTGTGAGCCCTTTTTACAGCCGCAATGAAGGACAAAAAGACTGTGAGAAGTACGCCAAGCAGAAGTCCTATCAATATATATCTGGAGGCATCTTACTAGATCCAGAGAAGATAGGTTAGTAGAATTCTCCATTTCTTGGGAGTCAGACCTCAGAGATGGAAGAACAATATCCTCGTTGATGTGAAAGGAGGAGGTGACTTTAGGTCGAAATTCGGGAACCGTACGGAGGACGACTCTGTCTTTGTGAAAGACCGTAAAAGGCTCCTTAATGGATAGAGCGTGGAGCTCAGAAACCCTCCTGCCGGAAGCTAGGGCAATCAGCAAAGCAGTCTTAATAGAGAGAGCATGAAGTGGAACTGTCTCAAACGGTTCAAAAGGTTCCAACTTTAAAGCATTCAAGACCAAAGGGAGATTCCAAGATGGAACAAATGGTTTAATAGGAGGTTTTATCTGAAGGACTCCTTTGATGAATCTGATGACATCCGAGTCCAGTGCCCATCGATGATTGGTTAGAGCGGACAAAGCTGAGACGTGCACCTTGAGAGTGTTATAGCTCAGCCCTTTAGCAAGCCCAGACTGCAGGAACTCCAAAATATTAGAGGAGGAAGGATCCTGAATATCAATGTTCCTGTGAAGGGCCCAGTCGGAGAAAACTTCCCACACTCTATAATAAGTGGCCGAAGTGGAATGCTTACGCGCCTTCAGCATAGTGCCTATAACGGCCTGGGAGAATCCTTTGCTCAAAAGCCGGTTCCTTTCAGTCTCCAAGCCATGAGATTGAGAGAGACAGGATTTGGATGTAACACAGGACCTTGGAACAGAAGATCCGGAGTTCTGGGGAGTGGGAGAGGAGGTTCCACCAAAAGACTTTGAAGCAGAGGAAACCAGGGTCTTCGAGGCCAATAAGGCGCAATCAGGATGAGAGACACCTGCTCTGTTCTCATCTTCCTCAGGAGCGGGAGAATTAGTGGAAACGGAGGAAACGCATAGCCCATCCTGAACCTCCAGGGGCTTGATAAAGCATCCCTCCCCAGTGCTAGGTGGTCGTCTTCTTTCGTGAAGAAAAGCTTTACTTTTCTGTTGGCCCGAGTGGCTAGAAGGTCTACTTGAGGGAGACCCCATTTGTCCACAATCATGCGGAATACACTGTCTGAGAGGCACCATTCCCCCGGATCTATCCTGGATCTGCTGAGAAAATCCGCCAGTTGATTCCGTTTCCCTGGTAGATGGATGGCAGTAAGGCCCGCCAGGTTTCTCTGAACCCACCACATCAGGTGATTCATGATTTCCATCATCTTGCAGCTCCTGGTACCCCCTTGGTGATTGACATAGGATACTACGGTGGAGTTGTCCGTCCTTATCTTCACCCATTGCCCCTTGAGATGAATCGAGAAGTGTTTCAATGCTTTGAGGACAGCCAGAAGCTCTAGGCAATTGGAATGAACATTGTTTGTCCTGAAACTCCATTCTTCCTGCGCAAAGTTGTGGAGACAATGAGCGCCCCATCCCCACTGGCTGGCATCCGTTGTCACAGTTATCCACGCGATATCTCCTAGTGGAAAACCCTTTGATAGGTGCTCCCTGTTTAACCACTAGATTAGAGAATGGCGTACATTCAGGGAAAGTTTGATGGGTTGGTGCAGGTTCCCGGAGGAGAATTGTCTCAGGAAATTGGCTTGGAATGGTCTCATTCTCCACTGTGCCCACCTGGTCAGTCCTATTGTGGAGGACATGGAACCAAGGAGGCTCATTATGGCCTTTGCAGGGGCCACCCTGGATATCAGCATTCTTCTCAATAACATCTTGAGTTTCCGTATTCTTGCTGATGAAAGTTGGACAGTGCCCTTTAGAGTGTCGAAGTGAGCACCTAAGTAAACCATAGATTGCGTTGGGTGGAGGTGGCTCTTCTTGGTGTTGATCTTCCAGCCGTGAGCTTGCAGAAACTGAATGCTGGTAATAGCATGGGATGTCAGAGAATCTACGTTGTTTCCTAAGATCAAGATGTCGTCCAAATAATGGTAAATCGCAATGTTCTGCTTTCTGAGTTCTGCAATGAGAACAATCAGGACCTTTGTAAATGTCCTCGGAGCTGTGCTCAGTCCAAAGGGGAGGGCCCTGAACTGGAAGTGACCTTCTTCCACAGCAAACCTCAGAAACTTTTAATGAGTTTGGGCAATGGGTATGTGAAAATACGCATCTAACAGATCTATAGACAGCATCCATTGGTTGGGTGACACTACTTTTATTATAGACTGTAGGGATTCCATTTTGAACCTGCGAATGTGCAGATGCTTGTTTAGCCTGTGTAGATCCAGAATGGGTCTCCATCCCCCTGAGGATTTCTTCGTTAAGAAGATGTGGGAGTAAAACCCTTGAGTTCTTTCGCCAGCTGGCACTTTGGTGATAACCTTCTCTTTCTGCAAGGAAAGGATGAAGTCTCGTAGGGCCATGCACTTTTCCTTGTCCCCTGGCCACTTTGTGAGGTGAAAGGACCTGCTTGGAGGATGCTCGAGGAATTCTATCAAGTAACCTCTCCGAATAATATCCAGTACCCAACCGTCGCTTGTGGATACTTCCCATATCGGTAGATATTGGAGAAGACAAGCCCCGACACCTTCAGATTTGGGAATTATATAGTCATAGATTCCTCAGGTTTTTAGAGGAAGATGAACCGCGTGACTTGCCTCCTCTGTTTCCAGATGGGGCTCCTCTCCCAGGTTGAAATCTGGAATATTCTCTGCCTGGCTTGTAGGACCTACTGTCATGAAAGGAATGATACTCTTTCCGGGCACGAAAGGATCCTTTATACTTCCTCTCCTGAGGTAGAAAGGCTTTATTCCCTTCAGCCGCCCTCTTAATGCATTCGTCCAAATTCTTGCCAAATAACATAGTCCCGTGAAATGGCAAAGAACACAAACTATTCTTGGAGGAAGCATCGGCTGCCCAAGATCTGAGCCAAAGTGCTCGCCTAGAGGAAATCGAGAAGGACATATTTCTAGCAAGGCTCCTTACCAGATCCACTGCAGCTTCTGATGAAAAATCAATTGCTAGACGCATATCTCTTAGGTCCTCCACAATGGAAGAACGGCTTCTGCCACTCATGATGTCCCCTTCCAGCTCCTGTATCCAAACCTTCATAGCTCTTGTAACTGACGTGAGAGCAACGGCAGGGTGGAGACTTGTGCCTGAGGCTACATAGGATTTGGAAAGGTAGTATTCCATCTTACGATCCATAGGATCCCTGAAGGAACCTGCATCGTCTACAGGAAGGGTAGTGTGCTTGGCTAGTCTGACCACTGCAGCATCAACTTTAGGTGGAAAATCCCATGTTTCAGCATCTTTGGAATGAAACGGATATAATCTGGAGAACTTCCCTTTTGCAGATGATCTCCGGTCAGACCTGGACCATTCTTCTTTAATAAGGTCACTAATTGTGGCATGCACAGGGAAAGCCGCTCTTTTTCTTCTAAGATCAGAGAAATAGCGGTTAGATGTAGATGGTTCCTCCTCTGAGGGTTCCTTCAAGGTAAGGGTTTCTCTGACCCGGGCAATTAAATGATCCACCTCCGCAGGTACCAGGAAGTCAGGATCAGGGATAGCCTCCTCCTCCGAGGAAAAAGCTAGGTCTCTCAGAGAAGCTGAATCCATTAACTCTTCTTCAGAGTTTCCTGGAGATAAATCTGAGGGCTCAGAATATCTAGGTCCCTTGTGGGTCTTACCAACCTCTCTTATGCCCTGGGCAACTGCATGCTTGATAAGTTGCATAAAGTCCGGTGTTGAATGAGAATGGCCAGCAGCTGCTGAGATTCAATCTGAACAGAGACGTTTCCCTTCTATGGCTCTGTTATCACAGGATATACACAGCGTCCTTTTGGGCGACTTCCCCTTGGACGATCCTGAAGTCTTTGTACTTTTAGCACTGAAATACAACAAACGTGCTCATTAGTACATTACCACTCTTTTGTTTTTTTTTGTTTTTTTTTTTAAAAGGATGGCTTACCTATATTGCTTAGATTGTGACCTATTGTGATGAGAAGAATCCGATTCCCTGGATCCTGAGCGAGAATCCATCTATAAAGAATAGATGGAACAGCAAAACTAATACCAAGAAGAAATATATAAAAAAAAAAAAATAAGAAATAATAAAATAGGAGGGGAAAAAAAAAACTTACTTTGATGCTTTAGAAGGAAAAGGAATCTGGAAAGGCGAAGAACCAACAGAATGGAGCAAAAAAACTTTCCTGGAGGAAGAAACACAACCTAGCCTGAAAAAAGAGGTCTGGCGCTTTAAGAAGGGCATCTGACGTCATCGCGCATGCGCCAATGAGCGAGAAAACGCGCGAACGGCCCAAATGAATAGATTTTGCGCGCGAACGTGCTAATTCGTTAATCGCGTTCGCACGCTTATTCAAACAAAGCCGCGCAAACGCTTAGAAACAACTGAACGTCGCGCATGCGTCCCGGAGCCCACGAATGCCGTGCAGGCACACATGAGACTCCCGAACGCCGCGCAGGCGCACAGGAAACTCCCGAACGCCGCGCAGGCGCACCGGAAACTCCAGAACGCCGCGCAGGCGCACAGGAACTCCCGAACACCGTGCAGGCGCAGGGGAACCACAGCACAGAGAAATTACAGGTTTCTTAGAGAAGGAGACCAACTACTTCAGAAGAATAATCTTACAGGTAAGAACCAATCCATGGAGTCATTACCTTGATTCTGGGGGGAGAAAATCCAAGTCCGGAAACCAGCCAAATTCCATGTTATTCCACTTGCTACCTCTGGGGTTATTGCAAGAATTATAGGAAGGAAAAACCCCCAGTCACTAAAGGGGTTTTCTCCAGGGGGACACCTTTGCGCAGGGCCGTATACTGGAGACTTCCCAGGGGAGAGAGGGTGAACTCCCCAGGGGCTAGAGGAACTAATCCTCAGGTAAGCCATAAAGAAAATCTAATAGTCTGAAAAGACCGACATGTCCTAGGGATAGGACAGGAAAAAAAGACTGGGGAAGGAGGGGTAGGAGGTGGTACTTATACGGCTTAATAATTATTCCTATCCAATGGGGATAGGGAGGAGCTACCCAATGTTGTGCTGCCATGGATATGGCCAGGAAAAATAAATATCTTGACCAGTTTGATCATAATACCTTCGTTCTCACTGAAGATGAGGAGGACATAAATCCAAAAATAGAAAGCCTCTTGTAAATTCATTTAAACAAGTTGTGACCATTAATATTGCATCTCTGAGTGAAGAATGCATTGAGGAGTTAAAAGTCAATCGTGTTTGTGTGCACACAGTACAGATGGACCACCCTCTCATCAAACGCACTTACTATCTACGAGAAACAAACGTATGTTATTTTATGTTCCCCAGCAGTTAACAGCAAGATTTGCAGTTCAGTGAATTCCTTTTTCTCCTTTTACTTTTATTTTCAGATCTATATGAGTTTACATTATTTTAATTGCTTTGTTTCCAATGAATTTCAAACAGCTTGCAATCTGACTGGCCATAAGCTAAACTGGTTGCTGTGATCACAAACAGAAATAGCCTGCTGACTCTTTCAAAGGTGAGCAGGTTTTATTTCACTTATTCTTCAATGATATATGTACATATTGCCCTAGGGATTTCTATTTGTGCTTTATTTTCAAGTTTTCCAAGAGGACTAAAAAAGAAGAGGGGAGGTGTGACCATAATACACCAAGGCGAATGTGATCGCCAGTCACATTATGGCTCTATCTTTGTAAGTATGTCTATTTTTATATACATACTTAATTTGTGGTTAGATACTACACCATTAGATTTCTCCTTCTTTTCCCCCTATGCTTGATGAGTCGATAAATTAATGCTCAAACTAGAGGGGTAATATACCTATATTTATTTTTGATCTATATTGGTGGATTAGGAGAGATTTCCACAATAGTGTGGTAGCTGCTGTTAACATCACATTTTCGTTATTGACTTAAACGCCTTAGAATAAACACAGAGTACCTTTTTTTAATAAACAGGAATAGAATGCACACAGCTCTCACTTGGGTAATTATTTTACGCTATACACACACAGGGTTATTCAGTGACAGAATTGAGAATTAGAAATCACTGGATTAAATCTTCGAGACAGCTATGCTTCCAGTTCAGCAATTATAACCTTATATTTGACATTTACTTAGAATTCCTGACAATTCTCACTTTAATGAATAACCCTATTAATCAGTTTGATCTGCAAATGGATAGCATTGCACAGTTGCCAGTATTTTGAGGGGAAAAAAAGTTTAAGCGACACTTTGGAAGAAATGTATCAGCTGCATTTGTGATATCAAAAATACATACAAACGATGGAACACTCGTCTGATGATTCTAAAAAGAAAAACAAGATAATATAGTGCAATATTGCCAGTATAAATAACGTTATGTGTGTCCCACCTATTGTATGTATTTTTGAGAATTCTTTAGAGTGGTATAATGGGTTCCCACACAGGTGGTTTGCAGCTATTATTGCTACCACACATACCTATTCACTGTGTATTTCACCTTTCACTATTGCATTTGTTATATGGCTTGAGCACACACTTGGAAATCAGCATAATTCACTAAACTGTAAACTGAGAATTGACCAAGGAATTTTACAATTAAAATATGGTCAAATTGGAAAAATAGCTGAAATGCTGAATTTTCTTCTTCTGTTGTTCTGTATTAAAATGTTAAATTTCCTACACTACCCATAATACCTTAACATATGTTGCTCTGCTTTAATTTGACATATATGTTGGTTTGTATCCTTCACGATATTTATGATGCACAGTATAGAATGTTTTCCCTTAATTGCTTGATTTGCCTCTTGAAGCCCTGCGTGGCTTGCTGGTTGAAGTATATTTGCATGCCATGGACCTGCTAGTCCTACCTCTTGGTTGCAACTTAACAAGTAACGAGAAGTTCAGTGAAGATGTTAATAAAAGATTAATTCACAAAAAAAAAAAAAAATGTTACATTTCCTGGTCATTTCCTGACAATACCTGGTTAGATGAATTAGAAATTCAGATGAAGAGCTTACCAGTAATTTTCAATGCATAAATTCACAATACATTCCAAGCATATACATTAAAATAATTATAAATAAACTTACAGTATTTTCCTAAAAATTGTTTTTAGAAACTCCGCCAAAATCTTCAGATAAATCATGCATTGCCACCAGGCTATTTAAGTCAACATGCTAGCAGAACAAAGGTAATGTTTTGAAAGTATTTCATGTGTTGTTGTATATTTCATAGCTGAAACTATCATAGTCTCATATTTTTTTAATTGATTGTATAGGCCTGATGTTGGTTCCTGTCCTATTGTGTTTTATACCTCACCTCCTCTAGACTGTAAGCTCATTAGAGTAGGGACCTCTTCAGCCTATCGCTCCTGTACGTTTTTACAGTTGTGTCATTTATTGTTAAATCTCCCCGTCTGATAATATTGTAAAGCGCTACGGAATATGCTGGTACTACATAAATACCAATAAAAATAATAATAATAGTAATGATAAAGACCAGTGAAACAAGTGTCAGTAGAAAAGGCAGAACTGATGACAGGAAACGCAAAAAATAAATAAAAAATCAACATACGGGGGTAAAAAAATTTAATAAAAATGCCAATAAATTAGTTAAATTTCTCCAAGGCCTGTCATTTAAACAAATGAGAGAAGAAATGGCTGAGTGGGTATCTGGACTCTACCCATGCCAGTAAAGGAGATCAAATGATTTCAGTGACAAGCTCTGCACCCGCTCACTGTTTGTACAGATCATAAGTGGCCCTCTCTTTGCATTCTGGCACTTGTGAGTGACTCAGAGAGTTTGCATGGTTACCAAGTCATTCAGGAGCACCGGACTGAAAGAGATCATCCTATAGACCCCACCACACCCACAGTCTTACAGTGTTTATCTCGGATACTTGAGATTATAAGAGTCAAATTATTTCTTTCATTGTTCGTTATTGTCTTTTCTTTGATGTTCTAGTAAAAACCATTGTCAGGAGAAATGACAGTTTACAATACAGCAGGTTTTACCATGGACTCTCACACCTGCCACTTAGTAAGCGTTATAAAAGTATAGGCATTAAACAAGCTAAAAACAAAAAATTAACAGCCTGTAGTAAAAATATATATGTATATAAAACACATCATTTTTTTATTCATTATTTTTGTTGTGCATCGAATGAGAGATAAACTTGCAATGCCAAGACAGCAATAGCAAGTACAATGAAAAAACAATTGCATGGCATTTCTATAACATTGCACATTTTAAAAATGTTTTAACAGAGTTTCAGCTGGCTAGGCATACATGTCTAAAATCTAAATGAAACTGATGCTTTGAATCAGTGTAGGTCCTCTAGACATGAAGAATGCTGCCTACAAAATAATAGATTTGATTAACATGCAAGGCAAACTAGAGAGAAAAAACACTTGAGCTGAGTCCTCTATAGCATCAGTGCTTTAAGTACAATAAAAAAACCAAGCTCCGATAGAAGGCTATTATATGTCACAAGCACTCATATGCAAATATAACAAATAATATATTAAGGCAAACCATGAGCATAATGTGAAACCGTGGTTAAAGCGAAATGTCCCCAGTAGTTAAGAAGTATGAAGGCTATGGCTCATATACTGTGGCCTGATCATCCAATACCTTGGGATGGCAAAGTATAGTCCGCAGCTTGAGGGACACCTCGTTGGAGAGTGAGTTCCGTGTAGATCATTGCTTCCATTTTGGTGTCTTGAATATAGGGGAGTGTAACGTCCCGGTGCCGAGAGGCTGTAAGCTCTGTGGAGTGCCCCAAGTCCCCCCTGCAGTTCCCTGTACATGACATGTTTCTTGGTCCAATCGTGGTCTGCCTGGGCTCTGGGAGGGCCTGCTGGGTGCTGTTGCCTTTTTGGGCTTCATGCTTTGCCTGCCTCCCAGTCTGTTCTGGACTATGTGCACCTCTCTTGGTTTTCTGCTGTTCCGCTGCTCGTGGGTGGGGGTCTCTTGTTGGTGTTGGCCTTTTGCGGCTGTAGTGGTGGGGGGGGGGGGGTAACTGTAGACCGGGATAACCCCCACTGGTCTATAGGGGGGAGATGAGCTGGTTCAGGTTCTCGGTAAGTTGTAGCAGCAGGAGAGCGGCCGTCCTTCCTGTGCCTACCATGCTTGTAGGCCTCACCATAGTATCGGGTGAATACTGCTTGGGATGTCGCTTGGATGGTGTCATCTTGTTCACCTCGATGTCTCCCTTCACCTCGTGGCCTTATTGTGTCGAGTAGTAGCCTTTTTGGTGGCGAAAGTTAGTGTATTCTGCTTCGTGTAGCAGTAGCTGCTGAGGCTAGCGTCCTCTCAGCTCTGCGGTTAGGCCCTGCCCCCAAAACATATCTTTTAAGGTCAAAAGTTAAATCTCTCCCTGGTGTACTACATACATAGCTCCACCCACACAACACATAAAATATCCGTACACAAAATACACAGTCTCCACATACAGAACCTTCAACAAATGCAGAAGCGGTCACAAACACAAACCTTCAACAAATGCAGAAGCCATTCCACACACATTCAGAACCACACACAGAACCTTCAACAAATGCAGAAGCAGTCACACAAATACATTCAGAACCACACACAAAACATTCAACAAATGCAGCCTTGTGTAGTAACAGTAGGAAATGCTAGTTATGGTATGACAGAAATGGTGTCTCGCAGAGCAGAAAGAGACTGGAGAGCAAAGACACTTGTGTCGTAGTGTGAGATAGATAGAGAGATACTGAAAAAAAGAGACTGGCAAGGGTGTTCACCAGAGTGTGAACTGAAAGGAATTCAAAGTGAATTTAAAATGGTAATTGGCAAAATATCCCAAATTGATTTTCTAATGTTGCTATATTTTATCATACACTTTGAATCTGCTTTGAATTCCTGTCAGTTTTCACGTTAGTGAATAACTGTGGCAGAAAGAAGAGTTTGGCAGAAGTATTGGCTAATTTAATGTGGGTCAGTTCTCCTGCATTTGTTTGTTTAAATTCCTATATGGTTCACTGTATTCACTAACAACCTCATGCTAAGAGAACTGAGGCAGATAAATTCCACCATTTTAAAAATTAATTTCACGAGACTCTTTTGAAAATGACCTGCGACTGGCTGACAGCTGACAGTTTTTGACAGCTTAAAGCACCACCTTACTGTGCAGCATAATTACAGAGCACGTGACAGGTTTTAGGCACACAATTATGTGTTTGAATGGATCGTGCATTATTATTATGAGAATGTACATAAAAAGTAGGTGCAGTCATAACATAGAACGAAAGCTGAAATTAATGCCCCTCAACATCAGAGGAGATGGAGTGAGCTGTCACACAAAACAGCCATTATGAAGCATGTATCAACTGGACAGGGACTGGACAACTCCTCTAGGCTACTTTTTGCTCAAACTTCTGGCCACTTGCCTGGTGTAACCAGCAGGCAGTGTCATGGCCCTTAGCAGTCCGGTGGAGTAGAGTGGAGCGTATAGTACAGACTGGGGAGGCATAGTACAGGTTTGGAGATGGGAGGGTGTTTAACCCTTCAGTGAGTCTCACAAAGCCTGGAGAGTTTACCTATTTATTTACCAGGTATATAGAGGAGAGAAGAGAGTTGCAACATGCCACCGCTCCTCCGAATACAGGGTACTTTGAAAAGAGCCCCCTCGGGTAGGATTGGAGACATAATGCCTGGAAAAATCAACCAATTGCATTCAACCCATTTATTGTCACAATATACTCCAAAACCGAAACCAGGTGGCGTTTATCACACTCATTGCCATTGGGAAATCTGTCAACATGAGATTCCTCTCAGGAGCCATTTGATTGTAACAGGCAATCAGTTTCAGGTGCAATTCCCTAGGCCTCTAGCAAGGGTATTGTAACAACCAATCATAGCCAGTTTGATTGGAATTCAGTTGTGAATAGCTGAATCAACCATGTTATATGGAGAGTTAGCTGATTTCAACAGACAGTTGAACTGCAGCCAAATGAAAATGCTAATTTGGTTGAAATATCTGTGTAACCCCCAGGCATAAAAGGGGTTAACAGCCGTTTAGGAGATATTCCCTTCCAGATATACAAACAGCTACTATAGACACCAATCCACAGAACTGGAGAAGCATATGAATGCTCTCAAACATACGAATGCTGTAAACAGCCGAATAGGAAAAACTATACGAAAGGTTTACACTCCTAGCAGTCGAACTGGAACAGCATACAATAAATCCCCAAGAACGAGACAAGGCTCTGTGTTGAGGGTCAAGCAGGAACAGCAAGAGCTGTGGGCTTACTGTTCTTATATACACATTCTTAAACATTAGTACCACCCACAGGGTTTTGTAAAACAACCAATAAACACGTAATACACAGTAAAACACTCCCATTCATAAAAGTCACGAACTTCCAACTGGCTCATGAACCGACCACAATATTACTCCGATTGCTACCAGACAACACCCCCAAACCGGTCAGAAAAATGATCTATCTTATACTGAGCACGGTGTCCACACTAATTGCCAGATGCTGGAAGACCCTCGACTTACCTTCCCTCAGAGAAATTGAAAATGTAATGTCCTAAACACTAGAATATGAACTCCTAATGTGGTACCAGACCAAAACAGGAAAATTGAGCCCTCAAACAACCACAATGTGGCAAACCTACCTACAACAGACCAACAAGACACAAAACCAGATCTCGGAAACTCAGACAGATGAAAACACCCAAGATATCCTGGGCCCAGCCAACACCTGCCCGAGGAACACAACACACCTGAGACACTTCTCCCCACCCAACAGGACACAGCAGAACACCCTATCATCACTCCAGACATTGATGCACAACCCAATAGCAGAAAATAACCCAGTACTAACACATACCCACCCCGCTCCCACCTCCCGTTTAATCCCCTAGCCTAATATTTAGACTGATAATACCCCCTACACACCATAGCCAGACACCGACAACAAAGCGAGCTCAACTCTAACTTTAACCAGAGTCCCTACGATGCCAGGGAAAACGACCAACGCAAACGAACCAGGGATGATCCTATCTCCCAAGGACAGAACGAAAGCAAACTCACACACCATCCCGCAACCCAAAACAAACGACTCAACACAAGGGCCCAATAGGCTACAATAGACAACCCAGCGACACACAACCCCCCTCCCATGACGAGCCTTAACGGGAGATACGCATTCCCGAACTAAGGTTGCCAGTAAGGCTAGGCGTTGTACCTAAGAAAGCACAAATCATAACTGTAAACTTTAAAACTGTGAGCAACTACCGCATGCAATACATGTAAAATAATATGCAATTTGAATCTGTACATAATTCCCATTACACTGAACAGAACCCCCACATTCAACCTATCCCCAGATAGCTTGGATCTGAGCGCTCAATATATCCAAACAGCGCTCAGATCCCACAAACAGAACAAAATTGCCATGGGGTTGTCACGACAGTGACCCCTACACGCAGAGTGTAATTAGAAAGTGACGTATACCGGACCTTAGAATGGCCGGACTCAAAACGCCAAGAAGTAGTCGAAGGAATAGCCAAGAGTCAAATACCAGTAAATACAAATAAATGATCTCAAGAGCACTAAAGGGAACTATCAAGAACCACAATAGTGCGCTGAACAATTGAAAAAGGCGCCTTTTTATAGTGTGGTTCCTTAAGCTTTAAATCCACGCACCCTCAGGGCACTATAGTGCCAGGAAAACGAGTTTGTTTTCCTGACACTTTAGTGGTCCTTTAAACCTGAGCAGAACATCTTGTATCTCTTCTTGAATACTCTCCCACTCATCTGACAAAACACTATTCTTTATTTCATACTTCTCAGTGTGAGGCTTTCATGGCATATCAGCCTCCTTCACAGTCGTAGAATAATCTACCGGTAAACAGCCACGAAAATCAAAGTTATGATTAAAGCAGGGTTACACCAGCAAACGTATAAACATTGGATTCGTGTCATTGCCTTGGTTTCCAATATTTATAGATTATTATTAAAATGACAGGTAAGCCCGTAGCAAATCTTGACAGCACTGGTGTCTGATACTTCGTTTTTCAAAATAATAACCTAATCTGGGTTTATCTATCTTGTACTTCACCTTATCTTTAACACTTGGTGACTGTGACAGCTGGATCTGTAGTTAAAGATGAGATACAGCAGACAGAAACATAGTCTATGCCTGAGCTAAAGTAAAAAAATGTTCTTCAGATTCATGATATATGGGAGAAACAAAATTGAACAATGTGTGATTTGTTAAAACCATTTCAAAATCCTATTAGAACTCTGTGGAGTCTTTATTAAGTTGTCTTGTCTGCAATGTTTTATCCAAGGTTTTGGAATATAAAAAAATGTGATATGTACTTAATTACAGATCTTAAAGGGACATTATAGTCACCAGAACTGCGACAGCTTAATGTAAGGTTTCTGTTATAAATAGCTTGTCCATGCAGGCTTTCCAATGTAAACACTGCTTTTTTTTTTTTAAAGAGAAAAGGCAGGGTTTACATTGTTGCATAGTAACACCTCTAGTGGCAGTCACTCAGACAGCCATTAGAGGTGCTTCCTATCTCAGTGCTACAGTGCCTACATTCAGCATCTCCACGCTCCCCATAGAAATGCATTAATAGGTTCCCAATGCTTTCATATGAGCAGACATTGGATTGGCTGAGATAGTCACAACTGATTTTCAGCCATGGAAGTGTGGCCAACTGAGGTGTGACTGACGCACCGAGGTAGAAAAGGGAAGTTAAAAATCTCTTCATTGCAAACTGAGGGGGTTGGTGACCTAAATAGCCACTCCAGCACTCCAAGGTTAGGAATACATGTTTACGGTACAGAAACACACACACATTTTGTAAGGAAGTAGACAAGGCTGGATGAAATATAATTGTAGAGAATTACCAACTGCTGTTAAAATATCGACGTATAGGCTTAGCATTAATTTAATAACCAATTTAAAAGCATGTTTTTGATTTTTTTTAAATACAATACTATATTTATATACCCTTTGTGGATATTTATTTAAAGGAACATACCAAGCAATTAAAGCTTGCTTTAGCATTCAATAGGCTGTCACTGCAAGAGGATTTTTTTTTTTTTTTAAAGTGCTGATTTTAATGGAAATTGGCATTTTTATAAAACACCTTTGATCTACCCTCTAGGCTTTCAATCAGACAGCCAGTGGGGTTTCCTGCTTCACTTTAGTTGAACTAAGTCCATAGTGGAAGTAAGTGCTGTGCCAATCTCTGCACTAGTCATTCATACACTTTTCATTGAGCTGTAGTACAGGACATTGAAAGGTGAACAATTGGACAGGCACTCATATAAATGAATTGTCCTTAAGATTTCTCAATGAAAATTCTCTTATTGGACAATATCCAGCATAGAGGGGAACGTCTGTGCTGGACTAAATTGGAGAGTTTACAATAGCTGCAGAAACTAGTTCTGCTGCTCACATAAGCTATCTTTTTCATACCACCCCATAAAATTATGAATAAAATACTAACTAAACGCATTGGATTGTATAGTTAGTAAATGGCTTATTTATTAAGATTTTCCTTTGGAGTGTTCCTTTAACTATTAAAATATAACACCATAGTATTTTCATTCCATAACACTTTCATTTTGTAATAAATACCTTCAGCCAGACTAAGGCATTCAGAATCAAACTGGTAGTCGGCTTAATTTGGAGGATAGGTGGTTTTCCAACAACAAATACTACTACCACGAACAGCGTCAGCAGAGAAATGGTGTGTAGAGGCTAGACTGTCACAATGAGAGTGTGTGGGAAGGAAGTAAGTTGGGGAACTGGGTCATGTGCCAACACGTCTACACATCTCAAAGCAGTCTTATTAATTCATTCAGTACCAAAATTGTATGCCTCAAGATTGTGTATAAAGGATTGGCAAGCAAAATAAATTTGTTTATTGCTGATAAATTATGTTTGCAAAATCTGCTTTTATAACGTCTACTCAGCTTGTAGAACAACGGCACCTTCAACTGCAAGCATCTGCCTAACTCAGTATTCTGTACCGGCACTTTGCTAATATTGCTTTAAGTAGGAACTGTCCAGGTGCTGGACAAAGAGAGATGGTGCATGACAAGGTTAGTCACTAATATTACAATTCAAAGTGAATTTCAAATTTAAGGATAGAGTTGCCAAACTCAAAGCATAACTGACTTGGAGAATTTTTTCCAGTTTGGCTATTTTTACATAAAATTTAAAACTTACTATGAATTCACTTTGAATTCTCACTTTTGTGAGTAACCCTGCCTGTTTTTAATGAGACATAGTGTCTCAGGGTTATTCACTAAACGTTGAATTGTTGGAAATTCACCAAGGAATTGCAAAATAGCCAAAGTGGAAAAATCCTTGAGGACCCTCTAGCCACCGGTGGGGAGAATTAGGGACAATTTGTGGTGTGGACAAAGGCATGTCCACCCCTTTTTGTATATATATTTTTTTGTATATTTAATATTAGATGCCTCCTCAGTGTAATATGACATTAATGTCCCCCACCCACCGCCAAAGGGTGGAGGCTGGGAAGGACATTAGGCACTCCACCGTTAATAGAATTATAAGATGCCATCCCCTGTTTAATAGCCCCGTATGAATTTGGACACGGATACACACACACACTACAGGGCTTCATTGCAGACAGCAATAGTTGATGCCTAGTTTTAACTAGCTGTACCATGGAATTTCCATTTTCTATCCACATACACAGAAATTGTTACAATCCAGCAGATTTTTTTGGATGCTGCATTCCAATATATTCAAATTTACAAATAAGTCACAGTTTTTTTTGTATTATATGGTAGTTGTGACAAATATTGCTGAAAATGGACAAACATTGTATTTTTGACTGCACAGAAATATATCAGGCCTTCTCTTACGCCTTGCTATATAAGGGATTACAACTAATCTATATTTTGAATGATCAAGTATTCACACAAAACATGAATAAAGAATAATAATAATGGAAAGCTTAAATTGCATATATATTTTTTTAGATATCCCTGAACATCAATGTATACATGTATTAAACACTTTGTTCTTAGTTGCTGGGGTAGACATACAGTCATGTGAAAAATAAATTATACCCTCTTTGAAGTTTATGGTTTTACATATCAAGACAAAATAACAATCATCTTGTTCCTTAGCAGGTCTTAAATCAGATAAATACAACCTCGGATTAACAACACATGACATGTTGCACGATTGTGGTAGAAGCTACAGGATGTTTAAGTAAAGTTCAGTACTGACATGGTGCAACTATCTTGGACCAAGGCACATGTGTGGAATGTCAGGAACACCGACTATTAGATAATGTATGAAAGAGATAAGTATTAGTTTAATAATTGGATGGAACTAGAGTAATGTAGGTGTAATTTTTGTATGGAATACGTCATTTGTATATATTCTTTGTTCTCTTGTAAACGTGTGCTCAGTCAGGCATTCCAAGACTATTGTCTGACTGAGACCTTTGCAGCTGCAAAACAATAAATAGCTTCTGTTCTTTAACGACTTGAGTCTGGAGTGTCCTTGTTTCATCTCTGACCCGAGAATACTAATACACTGTGTTATGATTTATTTAACAAAAATAGAGCCAAAATGGAGAAGCCATGTGTGAAAAACTAAGTACACCTTATGATTCAATAGCTTGTAGAACCACCTCTGGCAGCAATAAGAATTTTAGCCCACTCTTCTTCACAACGTTGCTTCTGTTCATTGAGGTTTGCTGACATTTGTTTATGTACAGCTCTTTCAAGGTCACCACAGCATTTCAGTCTGGTTGAGGTCTGAACTTTGACTGAGCCATTGCAACACCTTGATTCTTTTCTTTCTCAACTATTCTGTTGTAGATTTCCTGCTGTGCTTGGGATCATTGTCCTGTTGTATGGTCCACTTTTGGCCAAGCTTTAGATGTCGGACTGATGGCCTCACATATGATTCTAGAATATGTTGGAATAGAGTAGTTCATGGTCGATTCAATAAGTACAGGGTTTCTAAATCCCGTGACTGGAAAAGAAGCCTGAATCATCAGCCCTTTACCACCATGCTTGACAGTTGGTATGAGGGGTTTGTACTAAAATGCAGTGTTTGGTTTTCACCAA